GTTCATCTATTCAATGGAATGTTATTTGGCAAAAAAAAGGAAGTAATGGTTACCACATGGATGAATCTTGAAAACCTTATGCTAAGTGAAAGAAGTCAGTCATAAAAGACCATATATTGCATGACTCCATTTATATGAAATATCCAGAATAGGAAAATCTATAGAGACAGGAAGTAGATTAGTGGTAACCTAGGACTGGGGCTGGTGGTATCTGGGAACATGGGAGGTGAGTACTAAAGGGCATGGGTATGGGATGATGAAAATATTCTAAAATTGATTGTAGTAATGGTTGCACAACTCTCTCTATACTAAAACCATTGAATCGTATGTACATTTTAAATGAATTATATATGCATTATTATAGACTGTTAAAAATAAAGGAACCAGGAGCACCAATAGTTCAGGGTAAGAGCCTTTGATATTACTTAGTGTTATAGTGACTTTAGAAAAAACTTGTCAGCTAGAGTTAACTGATTTGAACAATTCAACTTCACTAGGCAAATAAACCTAGAAGAGCTTACAATGCTGGCAGTTAAATTTTTTTTGCACAGTTTTCAAATGACTGTGATGTTAAGAGAATAAAGTCTCAGGTGAATGAAAGCTACATGATGTAAAAAGAAAAAGGTCAAGTTGGTAGATAATTTTTTAAAAGATTTTATTTATTTATTTGACAGAGAGAGATCACATCTAGGCAGAGAGGCAGGCAGAGAGAGGGGGGGAAGCAGGCTCCCCGCTGAGCAGAGAGTCTGATGCAGGGCTCAATCCCAGTACCCTGAGACCATGACCCGAGCCGAAGGCAGAGGCTTAACCCACTGAGCCACCCACGTGTCCCAGTTGGTAGATAATGTTATTCATACATTCCATATTCTTATTGATTTAGTCAATTTTTGCTTAAGATATTTTAGGATTCTATTATTGCTACTCATCTAAGATTATTATGTCTTCTTGGTGTATCTGACCTCTTATCATCTGCAATCACTTCTTCATTTCCATATTACTTGCCTTGAAGTCCACATTATCAGATATTAATATAGACATAACAGTATTCTTATACTTAGGGTGTGCATTTCCCCCCCCCACATTTTTACTTTCACCCTGCCTTTGTCTTTGTATTTAAAGTGCTTTTCTTATAAACAACACAGTTGACAGTTTTTTCCCTTAAATGTAAAGGTTTGTTTACATTTAGTGTAATTATTGATAATGTTGGGTTTAATCCGCCATCCTGGAATTTGTTTTCTAATTTCCCCATCTGTTCTTTGTCCAGTATTTCTTTTCCTTCCTTCTTGTGGGTAAATTGAATAGTTTTTTTGTATTCTATTTTGCCTTATAGCCCAGCTGCCAACTCTTTGGGTAGGTCAGGAGTTAGTCTTGCTCTTGAACTCAACCCCTGGCTTGTCTTGGAAGATCTCTCTCTCTCTCTCTTTCTCTCTCTTTTTTTTTAATGATTTTATTTATTTATTTGACAGATAGATCACAAGTAGGCAGAGAGGTAGGCAGAGAGAGAGAGAGGAGGAAGCAGGCTCCCTGCTGAGCAGAGAGCCCGATGCGATGTGGGGCTCCATCCCAGGACCCTGAGATCATGACCTGACCTGAAGGCAGAGGCTTTACCCACTGAGCCACCCAGGCGCCCAGAAGATCTCTCTTGATCCTGCTTTGCATTTGGTGAAGGCTCAGTGCTTGTCAGAGGGATCTTATTCATCGATTGTCCTGTTCCGAGCCTTCAAGGAACTGCTGCTTTGCACTCAGCAAAGGCTGGGGGGTACTTCAGGAAGATTTCCCAGCCCTTCTGTTTTGTCCCAGTCTTTGATGTGTGGTGGTTGTGTACTAGGTGCAAACTCTGTGAAAGAGAACTGACAGGTGGGTATGGAGTTGTTCTTCGATTAGAGCTCCTCAGAACTCTAATTCCTCTCATCAACAGCTGTTAAAAGTTAATAAAGTTTTAGCTGGTTTCTCCATACTTCCCTTTTGGCAGGTTTATTCTTTCTCCTGTCAGAGATAAAAGCAGTTAGACATCTCTTTTTTGGGAAGAGATCATTTGTATGTGAAAAATAGTTCATTTAGGTTACTTTGCATCTCAGCTTTAATGGGTTTTTAAAGAAAATTTATGAGCTTGTTTTAGGCTGTGGTTACTTTTAAAGTGTTTTTTTTTTTTTTTTATAATTATATGGCATTGGAAACATTTTTTTGAGCATCTACAGTTAATGTTTATTTTTTAGAGGCTTATTGAGTGATAATTGCCTAGTGTGGAATACCCAAGGAATCTGTGAAAGGTCAATGAGTCAATGAATGACGGCATTTGCTTTAGGTATTGAGTCGCTGGTATTGGCCCCACATTAATATACATAATCTCTCTTATGGCCAGTAATACATACTTAATGATGGTGACCTACAGATAGGCTACACTTTATTGATAAAGCACCAAAAGAAGGTATAGTGATTATGCAGTCTTGCCTCATGAGCATTTATGTAGCCTTCTGAGTTAAAAAGAGATTCAAATATATTCATAATTAATATGGCTTATCTGGATCACTTTAGAGCTGTATACAAGGTTTGGTCATACTCATTAAGATAATTTTGATTTTATTTGTTACAAATAAAGCTTATTTTTTACACTCTGAGATGTTAAGAAAAAGACTTTATGCTCTTCTTTGTTTAGTTTTCATGTTTTGATTGTATTTCTTTTACCTTATATTATCTTTTAAGATTCTGTAGAAGAATTTTGTCTGGTAAGTGCAGGCTTATTTAATCCTATGCTCTCTGAAATCTAGGAGTGACTGGTACACAGAGGAGAATCAGGCATTGAATGTTCAATAGATTTTTTCTTTAAAATCTCAAACATTCATAAAGTAAGTAGTGCAAATAGAAAAATAAACTCCCATGTTTCTAATAACTGTTGACATAGGTTAATCAGGATCTTTTTTATCCTGACCACTTTATAAAAACAGTTGAGCGTCTGCTAGAATATTTCATTTATTTTTGATTGCTAAAATATTTTAAAGTTAATCCCAGATGTTATGTCTTGTTTTACCTGTAGATTGCTCTGCCTGATACAGAAAATTTTTAAAACGTAATTACAGTGACATAATAGCATCTAACAAAGTTAGATGTGTTTAATATGGTACACACTTATATTTTATTCTAGATTATTTTAAAATGCTGACAATGCTAACATTGTTATGTTCCTATAAAAGGAATGAAGAAAAATTCTTCAATGAAGAAAAATTTCAAAATATCAAAAGTTATATGAAAATAAAATATTTTTTGTTTCATTATTCCATAACTGTTAACTCTTTAGGATAGTTCTCTACTAAATGGTATAGTGATAATTTTTCAAACCTCACTTTTTCATGTCATGTTCGATTCCATTCCACTCATACCTGGAAATACCTGGGAAAATTAACTTACTTTGTTTCTAATCTTATTTGATTAATATTATAATTTCTAAACATTTGAATATTGACTGTTTCTTTTCTATTGCTTTCAAGAATGTCCTAGCTAGATATGTTCATAGGCCATATGGTGGCCTATGAAAAAATTCATTCTGAGACCAGATAAATTTTATAAACAATGTATACCTGACCCCCTTATGGTGATTTATAAGGTATATAATGCAGGTTATAAGCAGCAAAGGTCTGAGTTTGGCAATAAAGAGTTAACTTGGCTTAACCAAGAATTTCCTAAATTTATTTAGCCCCAGAACCCCTTTTTTAATGTAACCTCTCTTAACTAAAATACATTTTGGAGAATATTATTTAGGCAGGACAGTGCTACCTCAGAATAGCAAAACAGAAGCTGTTAAGTTCATTTTTATTTGAATTAGATAACTATCCTAATGGAATAATCATAATCATGTAATATTGTTTTTCCCCTATAATATGCTTAATATTGATAACACAGTATAATAGGTCATCCTCTTCAGGATCTTACATTCTGAAAATCTTTAAAAATACCGTAAAAGCAAATCAAGTATGAGCATTTTGTTTTTTCATGAGATAGATATTTGCAAAAAAAATATAGGTATACATCACAACCCATCTGTAAGGAAAGATAAATGCATTGGTATTGTATTAAAGGGGAAGGTAGAAACAATATGTGTAGAAATGCAAGGAAATAGAAACCAAAAGAGAATAGTGATCAATTAGATTATATTTTATTTGTGAAGAATTAGTTAAAAATATCTTAAAAGGGGCACTGGGGTGACTTAGTTGGTCAAGTGTGGGGTCTTGATTTCGGCTCAGGTCATGAGCTCAGGGTCTTGAGATTGAGTCTGGGTCAGGCTCTGCACTCAGTGTGGAGTCTGCTTAAGATTCTCTTCCTCTTCCTCTGCCCCTCCCCCCACCCCACCATCCTGCAATCATGTGTTCTCTCTCTCTCTCAAAAAAAAAAACAAAAAATCACAACTTTTAAGAAGTTTAAACTTAGGCAGTAGTGTGGAAGTTCTCACAAGTGGTTTACATTTTCATGTATTTTTATTTTTTAAAAAGACTTATTTATTAGAGGGAGAGAAAGGATGAGCAGGGGGACGGGCAGAGTGAGGGAGAGAATTCACAAGTAGACTCCCCGCTGAGTGCAGAGCCTGAAGCCAGGTCAATCCTAGGACCCTGAGAGTTTGACCTGAAGTGAAACCAAGAGTCAGTGGTTTAACCGACTGAGCCACCCAGGTGCCCCTACATTTTTATGTACTTTAAAATATGTTCACTTTTTTAAAACATGTAAGCAGTTAACAGGGCCAAGTGGAAGCTAACTGCACATCAAAGGTAAACATTCTCCATTCTGCCACTCTTCTCACTGACACTAGAGTGAGAAGGGACTCCAGAGGTACTCAAGTTCTAGAGGTTCTGCATCTCACCATGATATGATCTAATTGACACCCATCCCCGGCCCCCAACCTTGCCAACCCTCCCGAGTGGATTAGCTGGCTGCCCCTGTCTTCATATCATGGAAATGTGCAGACAGGTGTTTTTTCTGTGATGCCACAAAGGTGATTTTTTCCATTTCAGTCAAACTGCAACTTCAAGCGGAAGAGAGAGGGGTTGTGTCCATCAAAGGAGTGTGTGCAAATCGCTATCTTGCCATGAAGGAAGATGGAAGATTACTGGCTTCTGTAAGTAATACTCTTTTTGTAGTTTTTTTTTTTTTTCCTTTGTGAGTTTTGTTGCTGTTAATTTGCTAGTATTGGTATTTATTAAGGATTTTATAAGTATTATCTAATTTAATCTTCATATTCACCTTATAAAATAGTACCACTCTCTTTATTTCATGGATACAAAAACTGAAGTTCTGAGTGAGTAAGTAACCAGGGAAACACAGCTTACATGTGGTAGAAGCTGGATGGCACTTGAGGCAGTCTTGACTCTAGAGCCTGAGCTCCAAGTGATTGCATTTCACTGACTTATATGCAAAGCTATTGAACTAGAGTTGTAAAAAAGAATTTTTATATTGTGCAGTTGTTTGAAGATCAGTGGGATGGATATATATACAATTTTGAGTATCAGTTTTTAAGTTTCTTCTTTCAGATTTCACATGCAAAATGTTTGCAGTATAGAATACAAGCTGAGGAAGTGGATTCTTAACCTAGATACAGATAGTGGCACTGCCACATATTAGCTGTGTGTTCTTAAGCAAATTATTCCGAGGTAGTTCCCTTACCTATAAAACAGAGATAATAATGATCCTATCAATATGAGTTTTTGTGAAGACTAAATTAGATAATTTATATCAAATGCCAAAATCCAGTTCATGCATAATAAGTCCTCAAAAGTTTTACTTCCTCTTCTCCTTTATATATAAGCTCATTCAGGACAAGGACTACACTTTTTTACTTTTTATCACAGCTAGTCAGGAGTACTAGCTCCTGGCTAGTATTCTTTTCACTATGGCAGCCTCCTGTCAACCCTACCATTGTCATTAGAACAGGATTACATGCCTGTTGGGCAGACACGATATGTGGGAAATACTGCAGAGAAATAAAGCAGTCTCTCTGGAGGAGTAGATGGGACACTTACCTAAAAATGTGTATGTGTGTGCGTATACACAAACCACAGCCAGCCATGACACCAATACCAGTGGCCAGTTACCATTGGCTATAACTTTCTCCCATTAGAGATCCAATATTAGAGCAGTTGTGGTATTTTAAGCTATACACATATTTTTTTTTAAAGATTTTATTTATTTATTTGACAGAGAGAGAGAGATCGCAAGTAGGCAGAGAGGTAGGCAGAGGACGGGGAGCAGGCTCCCTGCTTGAGCAGAGAGGCCCATGTGGGGCTCAATCCCAGAACCCTGAGACCATGACCTGAGCTGAAGGCAGAGGCTTAACCCTCTGAGCCACCCAGGTGGCCCTACACATAGTTTTTGAAATTTTTTCTGAGTGACAACCTTTGGATTTCTGAAGGTACCAAAACAGACTTACAGAGAAAAAGGATATTTCAATCATCTGATTGATCGTTTGACAAGGATATATTTCTGTTGATATATTATCAATTTGTGTGACTTTTTCAGGATAAATAACAACTCTGGGTGTAATGGTGTGCACTCCCTCTTTGGTAGTAGAATAAACTTTAGAATCCTCTTCAAGAATAGCCAATACTTACTGAGCGTACAGTGTGCCAAATGCTATGCTATAGGCATCTGGATAATAAAGTTGAATACAAAATTGTGCCCTTAATGAATCACAATCCTGGGGAGGCAGAAGTGCAAGTAAGTATTTGTAAAAATTGTAAGGGTTTTGATGTGTTCCTTCTATACTTCGTATAAATGCACAGTAATATTGGATAGGAAGTAAGAAGTATTGTTTTTTTATTTTTTATTTTTTTAAAAGATTTTATTTATTTATTTGACAGAGAGAGATCACAAGTAGGCAGAGAGGCAGGCAGAGAGAGAGAGAGGGAGAAGCAGGCTCCCTGCCGAGCAGAGAGCCCGATGCGGGGCTCGATCCCAGGACCCTGAGATCATGACCTGAGCCGAAGGCAGAGGCTTAACGCACTGAGCCACCCAGGCGCCCCAGTAAGAAGTATTATGACATAGGAAGTAATACAGGAAAGGAAGTGATTAAACTTGTCTTAGAAGATGACCCATCAATAGGATTTTAGATAATGTAGAGGAAGGAATTCATCAGCCAGTCAGGGAGCAGAGGAGTGGAGATGAGGGTATAGAGAACTTTTAGAACATAGTACGTGCAAAGACATGGGTGCAGAAGGCTTAGGAGGTGTTTCTGTAGCATTAAAAATAATTCACTACTGCAGGAGTCTAAAGTGCAAAGGAAATGCAAAGTGGAAGGGAAGAGAGAAGGCTGGAGAGGTAGATAGACTGCCTGCTGAAATGCATTCTACACCGTGTTATAAGCAGTGGAAAGCCATGAAGAGTTTTAAGAAGAGACACAATCTGTTTTGAATTTGAGAAACATCACTCTGGCAGCATCACAGAGGACGGGGCTGAGGGGGCTGACAGTGCTGGAGACAAACCAGTTATTTAGAAGGCTATCGTAATAGTCCAAACAAGTCATAATGAAAGCCTGGCAGTGACAGAGCAGAGGATCGAGTGAAGTATTAGCACTTGAGATTGATTGGATTTAGGAGTGAAGTAGAGAGAAAAATCCCAGGTTTCTGGTTTGGATAGGAAGGTAGATGAGAAAGGGGAAGGAGGAAAAGAGCAAGTTCTGGGAAAAGGTAACACAGGTTCAAATTTAGACTTCCCTCTTTTGAGTTGCTTAAGAGAAATTCAGGTGGGGATGTTCACTACGTAGTTGTGATTGTGGGTCTGGAACTTGGAAGAAGGTCTGTGTCCATATACAGATTTGGGTGTCATCAGCACATAGAGAATAGTCAAATTCAGGAAATGGATGTGGTTCCTGGGCAAAAAATACAGTCCCCAAAGATTGACTACTTGGGACTTTTACTTGTACTGTTCTTGTCTTTTTTCCTACCAGTCTGTTGTCAACTTAAAGTGTGATGTAATATGTTGGGAATCTACCAAAGGAGCATTTTAAATATTTCCAGGACAGTGAATCAGTAATTTTGGATGACCTTGAGTTTGTTGAGAGGAGAGTTTATTCCTACTCGTCTCACGTCAGGATGTGACAAAACACATGTAGTGTGAATCATGATGGCTTCTGCAAAGGCTTGGTGTTGGTTTGGCTATCCTCAAACAGTGAAGGTGGTGGAGAAAATAAAGGAGATGCATATCTTTGCTTTTGTCATGACTAACTGTAGACAGTACTAGTCAAGTGCTTTTAAAGCTCTTTTTTTCTTTCTTAATCTGGCTCAGTGAATGATTTGAAATTCTTATCCTGTAGTTTTCCATTTACTGAGATTAGAAGATCCAGTAACCTGGTAATCATGGTGGCCTGTAAGATACTCGTGGGAGGGATTCTTTATCTCCAGAACATAGGCTGGAATTTACGTTCATCTGTAATGATGAAAAGCTTCATACTTGTCAAAAGTGATGAAAACAGAAGGTACTCTACTTTAAAGCACATCTCTGAAACTACTGGGGTCCGTAACAGAGGAGATGAATTTAGAACAATAGACATGAAAACCGAACTGTCTTCTCATTCTTACAGAATTCTTTCCAAGTTAGAATTAAAGGAATTGTGACCTCTTCTCTTGGTATATAGTCATTAAGCTTTCCAAACTGTTTTTCCAAACTTTTGGAAAGTTTTTTTCCAAAATGTTGAATCTATGCCATCAGAAGTGGAAAGTGCTCTAAAATAAAGTGTTTTATAGTTTCTTCCTTAACTCAGCGGGACTTTTCACAAGATTAAGGTATTTTATTTAGTCTTAAAGATGTTTCTATTTCTTTGGATATATGCTAATTCATATATAATACAGCAGATTCCCTTCAAGTTGATACAGTAAGAGTTACTTTAGCAGTGCTTCGAAATTTATCACAAACTATGTAGGAGGAACACATGAATAGAAAATTCGGGATTTATCAGTTTCCTTTGAGCAATGGCACCAGCCAAGATTCAGTTGTTGTCCTTCCCATCATAGGCTCTACTCTTGCCAAGTTCACAAGCTAATCTCCAGTTTTACCTAATTCAGTGTATGTGGCTTGCTTCCTTGACTTTTCAGCAGCAGTCCTATCTCTTTCAAATTAGTCTGTCAATTTTCAGGGGAGAAGTGCCCCTACCATCAAATCAAGGAGGTGATGTTGGTGGGTCAGTGACATATTTCTCTCTGAGTCAGATTCATAGGCAGGGAGCTGTCAACAACAGCAACTTTTAGGCAAAGAATTAAACGTTTTGACCCTTGGTTATTAGTATTATCTGTGCCAGACATTTAATGGGATGAGACGAATCACTGATGGTAAAAGATACCATTGACAGGGATGTCAGCAGAGACCTCACTCAGGTGACAATGAGAAGAGACAGCTAGCATATAAAAAACCGAACAACAACAACAACAAAAAACCTAATAGCAACTTTTGGTATAAGTCCAGTATTGTGACCACTAGCCATCATGGGGATGCAGATGCCCCTTACAACCTGGAGAAGCTGGGGTTTATGAACTTGCACTTGCCATAGGCGTAATTCTTTCCACTCTTCTACCTGGCCCCATTTCAGACTGTTGTGTTATGGCATATCCCTGGATTCCTCTGCCTTCTCCCCTGTTTATGATTCCTGCAGTGATTTGCAAAACATTCTCATTTCCTTTGGGCACGTAAAATATTTTGGTTTCTAAGAGTCATGTCGATTGCTACCAATTGAGAGTATGAAAGAAGACTGTTTTTTTTTCCTCCAATACCTTCACATAGTAATGGCATGAATGCTTTCAGGCTAAGGAATCCTCACTGTTTGAAAACATTTCTTAAGGGTCTTTCCCCCGCCCTCTTTTGAAACTAGAAAATCCAAAAGTTTAAAGAGTAACTATATTTAACTGCCAAAGCCTATATTTAGAGGCTGAACTTGAGTAGTTTTTTAATACACAACAGACTCTTACTCCTTTCCATAGCGGGATAAATTTTGTTGCCATGAACAACAGAGGTCCAGAACAAATATTAGGATTTATGATTTCTTATGTGTTCACAAAACTGTAGGTTTTTAAAAACTGCATATAGTGAGGTTAACTGTAGTTTTACATTTAAGTCCCCAAACAACATCATTGTTGGCATTAGTAAAGAAAATTTGCCTGGTCTTTATGTGCTAGAAAATTGCCTGTTGATTTCTATATAATGCTATAGATCGTGATATCCTGAACAAGATATCTCAATATTAGAAATGTGTATATAACTTGTGTGGACCATAATAGTGAAACATAGAAAAAAAATTTATTCTCTGAGGATATATACATTTAATTATTGTAAAAGTAAAATATATTTTTTTAACCTATAGAATAACTTTCTTAGTTGAGGGGCCTTAAAAATGAAATGAGACCTACATATACAGCAAAGTAGGGAAAATAGATTTTTGAGGGCTTAGTTATTGAGACTGACAATATATACTGATCAGGTTTGTCAGAAAAATACAGTAATTGAAGAGGAATGTATATTATTTTTGAGAGCTAAAACACTAGGTTAAATGCAAAGTTTACTACTTAATGAGGATTATTGCTTTTAGAAACCAGTCTTATAAAATTTTACACAACCTATATGTATATATAAAGATTAAGGTCAAATTTGCTTTTAACTTTTCACAATTTGTGTTTTATTTTGTTCTGAAGTAATCAACACTAATACTTACATCATGTCTGTTTTTAATTCTCAGAAGTGGTGTAAGCAAAGCATTTCTGGATCCATGTTGAGCAAACTCCCTCATAAGCCAAAACTGAAAAATCAAAGTACTGTAAAAGAATAAACAATCCAAAAAACAGAACATGGGGGAAGGGCCATAAAGTTCAAATCTGACATTTAGCAGAGGACCAGATTTGTGTATTTGATGCGTAAGTGGAAGAGATGGTAGTGAGGAGGAGAAATTACCCTGCTTCTTATTTATTTCCTCATTGTGTCATGACTTATGTAAATTTTGATAATCTGGCTGAAGTATTATTTGTCTTTACTATGAAATTACTCTTTTTCCCCTCTTTCTACCCTGTGATTCTTTGGAAGTAAGTCATTGTACATAGTCCACATTTAAGGGATGGGGCTAATGTTCCATCTCCTTGAGGGAGAAATATTTACAAATTTGGAATTCTTTTGCATGAGAAATTTGTCTATTCTCATTTATTCAATCACTTATATCAGTATACACTCATGGGTGTTTATTTTATATTGTGGGTTATAATCCAATACTGTGTTATTTATTTTTTTCAAACTGTTTTTGCTATGGTCATTGGGAGCTTTTTTTTTCAATTGGAAAAATGGGCTCCTATATTCTCTGACACACCCCCATCAATGTTGGAGGATTTTGAGTACTTCCTAAAGGCCTTCAAGATGCTCCGCATTCATCCTCTATATTCCTTACCATGGTCTAGGATGAGCCATTTCTCTAAGGAGCCCTCATTGTTCTTATGGGCAATGGTATTAGAAACCAAGTTCTGGATGTTAGGTTTGTTTTTTGCTGATGAAGTGTGTTTGCTTCTAGGCCCTCTTATCTGACAGAGCAAGAGATATAGGCATATACTACCCTGGGTGTATATATACATCTATAACTATTTCTCTATCTGTATATTAAGACAAACGTAAGTACTTATTGATGTCTCCAACCTAATCCGCCAGTATCACATGAATCATTTTAGCCTCCCTGTCTGGTCTATAGCCTCCCACTCCAACAGTGAGAAGCCTGGTTCCCACCATCTCCTAGATCAGTTTTTCAATATGTGTAAATATATCACTTTACTTTCTTTTTGGAATTTCCAAGTAAATATCTTAGACAGAAACCCATTTAAAATGTTAATTATGCTTTTCCAAACTCTACTTGATTCTTCCCTATTCAGATACCCTACAAGGGGTCAAACTCCCAGAACCATATTTAAAACCATTGGCACATTGTTATCACTGTCAACAAATCGTTTAGGACTCTGAGCTAAGCGGGTTCATGTGGGCAGCCTTCAGGGAAGTCTTCTGGTGTGCCTACCACTAACACCTGACAGATTTAAAGGACTCTCGTACATGTACATCTACATTCCCTTTTTAGGTTCCACACCTTTTATAATTGAGACTAATAGCTCATTGGAATTGTTGTAATTTAACATATTTTCTAACTTTCCAAATAAATTAGAAATTTTCATCTGCCAATTCTGTGGCTGTTCACATTAGCAAGACGAGAATAAAAGGTTAAAAAAAGGTTAAGCATCGTGTCTATTATATAGTATGTGGTCAATACACATTGTCTTCATTAGAATGCCAAATATTCATCTCAAACGCAACATGTCCAAAACTGACTTCCTCATCTTTCCCCATAAAACCTGTTCCCACTAATAGACTTCCCTATCTCAGTTGATGGTAAATCCACATTCTAGAACATAAACCATTTTGAAAATGTAGTTTGTTTTCAAGTGGGTAATAGTTTAGTAAATTTACGTATCTGAACATTCAGCACAGATGCAAGTTTTCGTTCCTTCCCCTTTGTTTCGTAAAGGTACAAGTAACTTCTATAAAAAAAGAAAAAGTGGGTTTATGATGTGTTATCCACTTAATCACCACTACTGTTACTTTCCTCTGAAATACTAGGAACTGGCTGAGAAGGCAGATCCTGTTGGCATGGCATGTATCCCAATAGGCCAGGCATTGTAGGGAGTGCCAACCGAGCAAGGTCGGGCACCCTGGAGGCTGACAGAATATCCAAAAATCAACGTGGTTAGGTCTCCTTCTGGGGATTTAGCCTGTGAAGCTTAGTGATGACCTTTCATGTTATCTTTATGATCATCATGATTTTTTGACTCTTTACTTGTGCCTGCTTCTTCTACTCCTGATCTTAAACCTGGAATGGGGAAGAGGAAGATTTTTATCTTTGGCACTGAAAAGTGACAAAGTAACACAGATTGACTTCAATTAACATGAAAAGCAAAATAAATTTCACCAAAGGTAAAGTGAAAGTATTGGCTACGGAATATCCACATCTTTCTAGGTATAAGTGTTTCACTGTCATCACACTTTTATCTTTACCCCACATGGATCACATAGCTGTGTCCTTGTGCAATGTATGCTTCTTTGTAATGCTACCTGTCATTTATTTGCATCACAAAGACAAGTTGCTTTAGTAATTTCTTGCAAAAAGTGGGCAAGTTAGATAAGTTTGTATGTCCAGTTTTAAAAGTTAACGGTGATCAAAACATTAAAGCCAAGTAAATATCCAGTAAAATTCTTATCCCTAGAAGCAGATTATAGGATCTAATACCACACCCTTATTTTAGATGACTGAGATGCCTGTTACATTCAGATCATTTTCATTTTGGTTGTTATGCCAGCTCTTTTCATTGTTCTGTTCATTGATTTATGTTTTTCTCACAGTTTGTGCCACTGTTTAGTTTATCTTAGAACTAAAGAATCTGGGAAAAGATTCAAGTCTTTTGAATGTGTGTTTTCCTAACCCTCCTAGATTTGAGTATATAGAAATAAGATGGAATCTGGTAAACTCATTAGGTTTATGTCATATACCTATGTATACATGTTGTATTTATATATAGATATAAATATGTATAAATTTATATGGTTTTCTATGAGTTTCTAATTCTCTCTTCCTATCTAATTTAATATGAAAAATTATTTTTCCTTTCTTCCCTTAGAGTAAATCATTTGTTGACACCCCCCCCACCCAACACATACCCCAGAGGCCAGTAACTATCATCAGTCTACCCTGTGAAGTTGATTTTTTGAACATTTACTTGAAATAATGTAGCAGCCTATTAGACTCCATTTCTTGGAATAGTATTTCCAGGTCTATTTGTAAAGCTAACTACCCCTACCCCATTAATAGCTGAACTGAAATAAAAAGGGAGACTAGTCTCCTCTCCTGCAAGACACTGCCAGAAATCAATATGGTCTACATTACTTATTCTCCATTACCTACTAGTGTTTTGAGAATTCTAATCATATAATGTTCCAGTATAGTTTTTGGGCATTATATACATTAGCTATTTCCTATAAAATATTGTTTTTATGCCTTAGAAATGGTGACCACTAGAAAAAAATTGCTATAATTTAAGGAATTGGTTCTGTTTCTGTGAGTAAAGTATTAACAAAACCCTCTTCTTCAGGAAGGTTACTTCCGGGTTACCCTTCCATCACTGGCATGGAACCCTGATAAAAGTAAAAATGACCCCTGACTGGTAACCTGCCTGTGGACTGGGAGGAATATGGATGCACCATGAACACCAAGCTGGAAGCCACAGCTGTGGGTTTCACGAAGTGTAGTGTGCTCTTTGTTAGTGGGTGTAACCCCCTTTGTGAAAGCTATTCACGGGGTGTTTCAAGTCCGAGGCAGGGCAGCTCCCATCACATCTGTGTGCTCTTGCTGCCTAAACACCTGGTCTGTCCCTTGGCGGGGCTGGAGAAGGTCCTTGGATTCTTCATCTGAGGAGGCGTTTGAAAGCTCTTCTGCTGACTTGCTGTGTTCCTTCCTGCACCCCACTACTGAGCTAAATTCTGTTAAACTTTTGGTCTGTTGAATCTTGCAAACTAGTTTGTCCCTCTCAAGCGAAGAGCTCCGCTGCTGGTTGAGCAGAATGGGCAGTGTAGTGTCATAAGTATTTCATATGAAAATATAAAAGTAACTACTAATTTTTCCTTTATTTTTCAGAAATGTGTTACCGACGAGTGTTTCTTTTTTGAGCGATTGGAATCTAACAACTACAATACTTACCGGTCAAGGAAATACTCCAGTTGGTATGTGGCCCTGAAACGAACAGGGCAGTATAAACTTGGACCCAAAACAGGACCTGGGCAGAAAGCTATACTTTTTCTTCCAATGTCTGCTAAGAGCTGATCTTAACGGCAGCATCTGATCTCATGTCACATGGAAAAAGACGTATATTTTTGAAATTTGTTAATGAAAGAAAAGAAAAAAAAATGTGTACAGCTATCTGCTCAGTTTGGATGAATGATCAGATAACCTTTTTATCTAAGAGTAAACATTTAACCATTGCCTTACTAAAGAAAAGCAACAAAAATTCCCGGAAAATGTATAGACTTCCACCTTTTGTATTGCATTTTCCTTTATCCACTGAAGCTTACTTAGTGCTACAATCTTTTTCATACATTTGCTTCCTTGGAAAAGAGGCTTTTAAAATTTGCATGTTTTCATCAAACAAGTTTTCTTATGAAAATTATAAACATTAGAATATTAAAGTCAGATATTTAGTTAACCCCAAATGTCCACTACTTTTTATTGTATGGCACACGTTATTCTGCATGTGCAATTTACTTAAAATTTTTAAAAACATGTAACTATGGATTTAATCCATTCCTGTCATAGTTCTGTAATTGGCTGGCAGATCCTTGTGATAGAGTTTATAGAACAAGCCTGTGTAAACTGCCGGAAGTTCTTCCATGGTGAAATCAATCTTGTCAAACCCTTCTCTGTACCCATAGAGCAGCAGCCTAGCAACTCTGCTGGTGATGGGAGTTGTATTTTCAGTCTTGACCAGGTCACTGAGATCCATCCATTCACACCTTAAGCATTCATGCTGGCAAAAATCTATGGTGAATGAATGTGGCTTTAAGCGACAGATGATATACATATCTGACTTCCCAAAAGCTCCAGGATTGGTATGCTGTTGCCGAATGCTCAGGAGGGACCTGAATTCTGATCTTATACCAGTCTCTTCAAAAACTTCTCGAACTGCTGTGTCTCCTACATAAAAGAAAGATGTACAAATCAGTAAGAATCACATTTTTAGAATTTTAATCATCAAAGATTTTCAAATAAAGTAGCATTATCTAAAGGTTGAGAAGCAAAAAACCATCCTAAGAAAGTGTTCAACATACACCCTTTGCCTTCTGGACATCCTGAAACACCAAAGTATTTTCTTACCAGTGTACATCTTAGAAGCTTTTGAAATATCGAATATTTCTTTGGCTGCTATGTGTAGGCTTACCCACCTGTATACTTTGGGAGTCACATTTTTAACTTCTTCTGGCTCTATTTCCCAAAAATTGAACACACAGTTTCCTCCAGTTAATATTCCCACATATTTCTTCATTATTATCCTGTTTGTGGTCATACATCAAAACCGCCCAAACTTATACATATCAGTATTGAGAAAAAGTGATTCATTCTTCCTCACGAGTCTGTAGAGCTGCAGAATGTATTGAGCTGTGAACAGTTCAAATCCTTCCCGGTGATCCTGGGTGGGGCTGTCAAGCCTCTGACATCCTAGAGCAGTTTCATTTATAACCATTCTGTTATGCTTCCCTAGTTATCCTGTCAGCAGAATCCCAGTATGCTAACTTTTGGCATTTCCTTTGTTCCTTGAGATTCCAAAGAACTATTTTATCAAAAGCGTTAAAAAAAAAAAAAAAACAAACTTGTAATTTACAGAATTTTATAATACAACAAGGGTTTCACATTTTATAAGGTTGGTTCTTTTCAATATTATGCAAATTTCTGGGGCAGGATTTTGGTTGCCATTAACATTTTTGTGGTTGCTTTTCCTAAATCTCCAGAAGAACCCCCTAAATGGGCTTTCTCGATGTTCTGTCTGGGATGTTCTGTCACTGTCTCCCAGAGTGGTCATGAGAAATTCTTTAAAAAACTGCTTTCTTTGCTCAGTTTGCTAGAAGCTTTCCAATTTCACAATTGCCACAGGCATAGATTTTTGTTCAAAGACCTCTATTCAATGCTTCTGTGTCCTTGTTTGTCAAATAGAAAATTATATTTGCCTTCTCAGTAGTCCTACTGGTGAAGAATAGGCAAGGAAGGGGAAGTCAAGGAAAAAAATCTCAATTTCCACATATTCTGACTATAGATTGTCTTAATTGCCTACATATGCTTGTGGGTGTGTCTCCCCCCGACCCACTAAGAAACAGCTCTGGAAATATGCACAGGAAGCAAAGTGTTCTAAAATATAAGACATTTGTCTGCCATTTTGAACTACATGCTGACTTCCCCTTCCCTTGAGGTTTGCCATAGATTAAACATGGTTAGAACTTACTGTTTTAAACTAAAAATATGAAAGAATGTATGTGAATAAAAGGAAAACCTTTCTTAATAAGAAAAATAATTTTCAGCTTGGAATACAATATATGTTTGTTATTAAATCTGTTAGATTTAATTAATAAATCTGAGATTGTGGTACTAGTCTTAAATTTGCTGATTTCCCTTAGCTATTGTTTAAATGTTTATTTTTTTAACACCTTGAAAAATAACCATGGGGGTTCTGTTAAACTCTTAGTACCACTAATCCAAAGTCTGGCATTTCATTTGGAATCTAGCCTTTTTATGTATCATGGAGGCACAGGACAGACTAGTGAGTGGATCTACCCTACTAAGCAGTCACCTTAGCACTGCCTCGGTAGTTTGATCAATTTAATTTGAACCAGCATATCATTGACTGGACTAAAAACTGAATGAGTAGATAAGTGCTTTTCTAATCAGCGTATGAGTGACTCCTTCCACCTCAAGATGGAAATCTTTACCCCAAGGCTTTTTTGCCAAGAATTAAAAAAAAAAATTTTATGCCGATAAACTGCTTTATTCTGTTGTACTTTTATTTTCATGTACTGTAAGCTGAGCTGAAATAACATTTACTGTTTTATATGTTTAAAGAACCAAGAGGGTTTTGTTTTTATTTTTGCCGATTGAGAGCTATGTTTAAATATGTCACACACAGTGTTTTGTTTAGTTACAGGACAGTGAAATGGAATTTATTTTGTTATTTCTATTTTGTAATATTTAACAATAGGATTAGGTTGAAAGAAAATAGGAAAGACTGTGCAGCTTGTGGGTTTTCCTGGTGTTTCCCTCTGATTCTGGTGCACTGATGAGCTCTTGCAGCCCCCACTGCTTCATGGTCCTTTGACCATGCAGGAGATTCTCTTCCTGTCAATGGTAGTGAATTTTTTTTAGGAAGGCAATTTCTCTATTTTTAACCTTGTAGATACTTTCGTACTATTAGGGTATTATATTAAAGCCCGAAGATTGCATTCTGTTTTGTATATGACCCCCTTAGTTTTTTCAAGCACTATGGACAAGAGTGTTTCATTTACCTAGTATTATCAAAGAATGAAGGATTCCAAACAAATGTGTTTCTCAGTTAACTAGTGTTTACTACTTAAGAGCTAATATGAATGTGTGCACATTTGTGATGGCTGTATTCCTAAAGTATATTACATACTTTCCTAAATACGGAGTTTAAAGAAAATAATTTTGATAATTATTGGGTAATTTGACTTTATCCTTAAGAATAATCGATTGTGTTGTAAGACGGAAATGCTCTAATATAGACAGACATAATTTTTCAGAACTCTATTGTCAGTTATCATTTCTAGCTGTTTCAGGATTTTATTAGTTAATTAATAATACTCCTACACAATACAAGGAATGCCAGTGGCTGCTTTTCTTATAACTCCTCATGGCTTAATTCAGAGTTCACTTTTTTTTTTAATCTGGACTTGAAGAGTTCTGGAATATACTTAAAACTAAAACTACGCATACTTGGCTTGGAAATGTGCTTCTTCATTTGCATTAAAATGTAAGTATCTTGAAAATTCACAAAATCTGTAAAAACTCAAAAGGAAAAAGTCAACTGACTTTTTGAGATGGCAAGATGCAGAGGAGGAAGCTAAACACCTTCTGTAGCCTCATTTTTGCCTAATATAGATTGGGTAACGATGTAAGACATAAATTAATTAGCTCACACACACTCTCATATATCACATAAGGGTAGTGTGAGATTAATTAGGTGTTCCAAAATAAATGGCCCTCTCTTTAGCACTTGTACCATCACGAAATCTTCTTTCTACAGAAGACCCAAGCAAGGGACTCTAAGCAGAAGATCCATAAGTACCTGAAAACCAAAATTTGCTATGGATATATCTCATTGTAGTAAATTTACTTATGGTTTGTTAGGAGTTGGCTATGTACTGTGTATAGGGCATTTTAATCTGTGTGACATTTTTAAAAAATGAAGTTTCAAATATATATATGTTTTTAAATAAAATATTTAAAGATAACTTAGGAATTTGCCTTTATATATAAATGTTGGCTAAATAGGGGACATGCATATAGAGGAAAAATCATGGAAAATTACAGTGATACCAAATGAGGCATCTATTGATTTATTATGATGCAGACTGCATTTGACCCAGTCACAGGTCAGGAATAGGTGGGAAAACTCCATTTTTATTCTTTCTTCTGTTTATGGTAGATTCAGTAACAGAGTTCTTAGCTTATGTCACATTTCTGTTTGAAATACTGAGCTCAGGAAGTTGCTTTAAGGAACTCTCAGTTGAGACTCACTTGTATGAGACATTTTATTACGTTTTGGCTTCCTGACTATTTAAAATAAATAGCAGATAATATTTTTATAGAGGGGAATTAAGTCACTACTGCTCTATAACTGAGTTTATAAATACTTATTTTGAAGTTCATTTAAAAGTTACTATTCATTCTTGTGTGGTGAAATGGTCAAGAATTTGTGTTTTCTTATAGTTTAATTCCAGGAACAATATTAGTCATATCCAAAATCACCCTTAATGCTAAACCTTACTAATGTATATACAAAGCTTTTTATTTTCAAACACATTACTCTAGAAGCAACCCTAAGCAAAATAAGTGGTATGCTCCTAATGGTATTTTTTATACTATTGAGATAAGTTGTAATATTACAAGTTTTGCTGCTAACTTTATATTAGCCCTGAAGTAACTTCTCTGAAATGTCTCAGTCTAAACCCATTAGAAAATTTAAAATCTTATTTTCAGCTATAGAGCAAACAAAGTAAACATAAATTTCTGAACATTTCCAAGCCAATTAAAAATATGTAAGGTATACAGACCAATATCTTCTCCAGGCTCTGACAGGCCTCCTGGAAACTTCCACATATTTTTCAACTGCAATATAAAGTCAGAAAATAAAGTTAACATAGCTTCATTCACTAACACATACACCGAGACCCCACAAAATCCACCCATAATTGGTCAATCCGTTGAGAATTTATCTTTTGGTAATGGCATGTAAATTTCCTTCACCTTCCTTTTTCCACCCTTTCTTCTTCTCGGGGGTGGGGGGGGGAAACTGGTTACTTAAGAAATCTTTTCCTACCTTTTTCTTCAGGAAATAGAAGTGGTTTTGTTTGGTTAATGTGATAAATTCTGTATGAATAAAACAGTGGAGGGAACTATCTACTGAATTTGTGTAATTTTTAAAATTTTGCTGCTAGTTAACTATTAACAAATAGATGGATCTTACAGATGCTGCTATAAATAAGTAGAAAGTACAGTATAAATTTAATAACTAAAGTATGCTATTTTTAATTTTCACATTTATTTTCTGTATTGTGTGTCTAATCAGATTTCTCTTGTTCTGTGTGTTAATGATTTTATGTACATATGTAATTACTTTTCATGGGTAGAATGAATAAATTTGATTAGTTTAAGCTTGCATTGTTTTTTGTGTTTGTATCATTTCATATTTTGGTGGGGGGCAGGTGGGAAGATATGTTCTTAGAATGAGAGCACATATGGGAAAAATGATTATAAATATGAAATGGCATGGGACAATATTCTGAAGGCTGACATTTTCTTCCTGTTACAATTCTGTGTGTGTATATATATAGATATATATATCTATATATATCTATATATATATATATTAACATGACAAAACTGCAGAATGAAAAATTATTATATACTCGTAAAGGTCCTATGGCTTAGAAATAGTACACTTCATGCTTCATTCATAAAACAGGTTTATGGACCTTTTACTGGTGTGCTTTTTGACCCACTCATTTCCTGGATGAGTGCTTCATAAAGAATGTGTCATTTCCCAACTGTTCTAAGTTGGAGACCAATGGCATGGTTCCCAGTTTCCACAGACTGTTGATTGTGTGGGTATAGAATTCAGGCTTTCCATCCTTTCCTGTCTGGCTCAGACTTGAGATTAATTTATAAAGCATATTTTATTAGTGTATAAATATATCTCTATGCATATCTCTACATTAATACACTGTCTTTGGGATTTTGTTTTGAAATCGTTACAGAAGCTATTTCTATAGAAACTATCCAATCTTTTTCCTGATACAATGTTAGATTTCACCACCATAAATTCTATTTCTAACAAAAGAAATGTTATAATGGGTGCAGAAAATGCTTCCCCCAAACAATAACTTAAAATCTTTACCAAGACTTGACTATAGAGACTGTTGATTTAATTATGAACTTACTAGAAGGGGGAAAATTATAGATATAAGGACTAGAAACAGCTTACACTAATTTCATTTTATTATTTCATAAAACACAGGTATGGAAAGATTAACTATATATTTTTGTGGTACTCTGTGGCATTTTCTGGCACCACTTGGGTTTAAAGAGCTTATGTGAAAAAAGCTTTCTCCTCTCTTACAGAAAGCTTGAGCCTGCCCTTAGTTCAAAGTAGTAGATAGAAAGGCTTAAGTTAAGTGGTTTGGAAAACCTGGTTAATGTTGCAGATATGATCATTGGAGGGTTGAGTTTATCTTCTCACTTTTTTAGTATTAAAACAAACTTCCACTTAAGTCTTTTTTTTATGTTGTTAAAGATTTATTTATTTGGGAGAGAGTCTGTGTGTGCAGGGTTGGGGGAATGGGGGTGGCAGAAGGAGAGAGGCAGGGACAGGGAAAGAAGCAGACTCCCCTGAGCATGGAGCCTGACTCAGGGCTTAACCTCACAATACTGAGATCACAACCTGAGCCGAAATCAAGAGTTGGATGCTTAACCGACTGAACCACCCAGGCACTCCTTCCCATTTAGGTCTTTAATCCATTTTGAGTTTTTGTATATAGTGTTAAAAAGTGGTCCAATTTTATTCTTTGACATGTAGCTCTCCATTTTCCTAGCACCATTTATTGAAGAGACTGTCTTTCTCCATTGTATATTCTTGCCTCCTTTGTCATAAATTAATTGAGCATATAATATTGGGTTAATTTAAAAAAATTCCCATTAACTGGGCTTAGCAATACAAATAATAATAATAACAGCAACTTCCAGGGAAAATGGTGGAGTAGGAGGACCATAAGCTCGTCTCATCCCAACCCACACCTAGCTAACACAAGAAGTACCCAGCAGTTTGATGCTATTGCACCTCTGATAAATCCCTGGGAAACAGAAGGACAGCACCCAGCAGTCTGATGCTATCACACCTCTGGCAAATGCCTGGTCTGACTCAACTCAAGCCCAAGGCAGCCCCAGACTGGCGCAACAACATAGGGACCAAACTCTGCCCCCACAACAGAAGGAGAGAGCCATGCTTATACTATTGCAAAAGCAGCTCAATTACAACAGCAGGGCACACTGAAATACACATAAGAGACACCCCTAAAGAGTAAGTTCTGGTGAACAGGGCCCTCCAGGACCTTTTCTTCAAAAGGCCACTACTTTCAAGAGCAGGAGACATAACTGAATTTCAAAACACATAGATAGATTCAGGAAGTCAGACAAAATGAGGAGACAGAGGAATACGTTCCAAATGAAAGGATAGGCCAAAATCACAGCAAGAAACTAAATGAAACAGAGATAAGAAATATGTGTGATAGAGAGTTTAAAGTAATGGTCATAAAGATACTGGACTTGAGAAAAGAGTAGGGGACCTCAATGAGACCCTCAAGAGATAAAAAACATATGAAAGAACCAATCAGAGATGAACAGAAGAACTGAAACTAAAAATACACTAGATGGAATAAATAGACTAGAGGAAGCAGAAGAATGGATAAGCAACCTGGAGGACAGAGTAATGGAAAGCAATCAAGCTGAACAGGAGGGAGAAAAAGTATTAACAGAAAATGAATACAGGGAACTTAGCAATACTATCAAGCATTTTAACATTCATGTAGATGTCCCAGAAGAAGTGAGAACAGAGGGCAGAGAATTTATTTGAAGAAGTAATAGCTGAAAACTTCCTGAATCTGAGGAAGGTAACAGAAATCCAGATCCAGGAGTCACAGAGAACCTTTAACAAAAGCAAATTAAGAAGGTCCACACAAAGACACATAGTAATTAAAATGGCAAAAATTAGTGATATAGAATTTTACAAGCAGGAAAAGAAAACAATAACATACAAGGGAAACCCCATAAGGCTATCATCTGCTGGAGAAATCTTGACATTGAATGCCCAGTCTACACTAACCTAAACCGGTTGATAGGTCAAATTGTTGCCTCCATCACAACTTCCCCCAGTTTTGATGGAGCCCTGAATGTTGATGTGACAGAATTCCAGACCAAATCGGTGCCGTATCTCTGTATCCACTTCTTGGCCACATATGCCCATGTCATCTCTGTTGAGAAAACCTACCATGAACAGGTTTTTGTAACACCATTGCATGCTTTGAGCCAGTCAACCAGATGATGAAATATGACACTTGCCATAGTAAATTCATGTCTTGCTGACTATTGTACCACAGCAATACGGTTCCCAAAGATGTCAATGCTGCCACTGCCACCATCAAGACCAAGCATACCATCCAGTGTGTGGATTGGTCCTCCACTGGTTTCAAATTTGGCATTAATTATCAGCCTCCCGCTGTGGTACCTGGAAACCTGCTTAAAGTACAGTGAGCTGTGTGTATGCTGAACAACACCACAGCCATTGCCAAGACCTGAGCTCGCCTGGACCACAAGTATAGCCTGATGTATGCCAAGAGTGCCTTTGTTCACTGGTATTGGTGAGGGCAGAGAGGAAAGAGAGTTTTCTGAGGCCTGTGAGTACATGACTGCCCTTGAGAAGGATTATGAGGAAGTTGGTGTGGATTCGTTGGAAGGAGAGGGGGGGAAGAAGAACAAGAGGAATATTAAAGTTAATGTCACAAAGGTGCTGCTTTTATAGGGAAGCTTATTCTGTTTTGAACACTGAAAAGTTGTGCTCTGATCAGTTAATTTCTATGTAGCAGTGTATATTCTCATATACAATCACTGAACTATGCTTTAAAACACAATGCTTTGTTACAGACCCAAGTTGTCCATTTCTCTGATGGGTTTGAATAAAGTATTCCCTGGAAGAAAAAGAAGAAGAAAAAAAAAAAGAAGAAAAGAGAAGAAGTAAGGAGAAAGAAGAAATGAGAAAGAGGTAGAAGGAAGGAAGGAAGGAAAGAAAAGGAGTAGGAGAAGGAGAAAAAGTACAGATCTGCTAGCCTTTTCCTTTTGGTTCTCTTGTATGATCTTTCTTGGTCTTCCCTTTCACTTTGGTTGAGTGCCAGAAATTTGATTTTTATTTCCACTATTCTAATCTTTAATGCTACTACTCTCACTTTTCAGAATTCACAGCCATAATGTTTAGATAAATCTCACTACAGTGTTAACACTGTACCAAAGAGACAGAAGCTACTATAGAGATGTCTTAGTACATTTGTTCATTCAACAAAAATTTATGTAGGGCTAGGTATGGGGCATACAGAAATTAATGCACAATATAGCAAGAACAGTCACTCCTTCTCCATGTACCACTACATTTTTCTTATCACCTACCGCCAACTTATATATTATTTACTCATTTATTATTTGTATCTTACTCATTCGAATATAAGCTCCAGATGTAGAAATTTCACTTTGTTCACTAATGTTTCCTTAGTGCTTAGAACAGAGCCTGCAAAATAGTATATGTAGTATCAGTAATCTTTAGTGAACGAATGCATAGTATCCTACTATTAACTCAGTTCTTTAGTCACTGTTTAGTTTTTTATTTCAAAGGATTGGCATATATAGATAGGAAAGGAGAAAGGATGAGTTTTTAGGGTCATTTTTGGATTTGTGTTTTAGTGTATGCATATGCTTGTGGTGAAGGTTAAACTTTCCTCTACGAGAAACACTTTACACTATTCCTAGGGTGAATGAGGCACTTAAGGGAAAGGAGAAAAACTGGCTCA